CGCATAGTTCCCTACAATAGTTTTAGTTTTCAGCGCTGTATTTGTTCGTTACAACTGGTGTAGGTGCTGGGTATAATTCAAGCCCGCCTAAGCTAGAGAAGTTAGCCCAGAACCCCTAAAGTTGGAGCCAGCAGAATTGACTCCTATACACCAGTGCACGAGTCACCGCCCACGAGGTGAGCAGCCAGAGTTGGGCGCCCTCTTCGATTCTTCTAGACCAATTGAGACCATAACTCCAGAAGCCCCTACAATGGCCGCTCAAGCGACGTAATTCCTATCTAAGCCGAAGACTGGCTCAATGGTTTGGAGTGCCTCGTTAGATTTAACGGTTGACACGAAGCCAAGAAATTTCGTAACGTGTACTTGGCACTGCAATTCTGCGCATTTGTGGTTCGAGAACCACGATGCGTCCATGTTGTCGGGGGGTGACTTTCGAAGAGAGTTTATTGCTACGTGTTCAAACACGGACCGCAAAGGCAGTGGTGGCTCTTCAGACGCAAAACGAAAGGAACAATGTGAGCGTCACAATGTACGTTGAAGACATGTAACGACTGTTACGCCGAGTAGAACTAAAACATGGCCCATGAAAGGAAGTCACGGAACCTGATGCGTGGAGTGAAGGGTGAGTTTTTTGAAGGCCTGGTACGTAATCCACCCTGATCCTTGGTGAGTTTAGCACAGAGGCGACAACGATAGCGAAGACACTGCAGCAGCTCACGCGTCATTACAACAGGTACGTAAGCGTCTCATCTGCTAGCGTGGTGTCGACAACCCTTACGAGCATTACAGACCTCTTGTGGGAAATGGTGAGGGCTGCCGTAAGGGAATAGCTTCAGAAAATGCTAATGACTGCAACGTCATCCAGCCATGTCCTCGCTTGTTAACGTTGTGCGTGAAGACGTCCGGCAAGCGATTCTTCAACCGAAACATCAGGTACTCGAGTGCGCACTACCGCATCCTCGGCCTCAGTCGGCGTACACACAAGTCGTACAGAACCTCGGACGTACAAATTAGATAGCTACGACTGCCGTATTCCCCCAACGTCTTCTCCGAGTACTCCAGTGCTCATTCCGGAAGAAAGAGCACGTAAGAGTGATGTATGGCACACTGCAGACTGGTGGCGCCTCTGCAGCCACTGTGGAGAAGCAGGTCACCTTTATTGAGTGGTCCAGTATTGTTGATTGGGACTGCGTGGTTTTCCCGTCAATGCACCGTGCCCGCGCAACGGTGAGCACCCGTACGAAATCAGAATGTCTTCGCGCTGTACACCTCAATACACGCCAGAAAAGGAGTTACGCTCCACAGCACCGATGCGCTATTGGTTGCAGTGTCGTTGTAGTCGTAAAAGTAAAGCTAGTGTCATCTGAAGGGGAGGACGCTGATATACAGACAACTGAAGACCTTTCATTGTGTACTCGACAAGGCGGCAGCAGTTACGCATCGATGGACAAGTTAAATAGTAGGAACGTTACTTGCAAGATATTGGTCACGATCGATGACGTCTAGGCTATTGCGCTAACAGACACCAGTCCAGACTACTCCGTGATCAGTAGCGCTCTTGCAAAGAAGCTGAGAAACGTGATGACTGAGTGGACCGGTCCTCATACTTATACCACTGAAGCGTACTTAGCTCTGTGGGATTATGCACCGCAAGAATAAGAATAAGAGCATATATATACGTCGGCAACTTCATTATTTTTCCCGAATGCACCCGTGAGCTTATGGTAGGCATAGATTTCGTGCAGACAAACAATGTAGTCACTGACTTGCAAGAATCCCATGTTTCAACGAAGAATGCCGTCGCCTTCTGTCTTGCAGAGCAACCAATCGTTTTTCCTCTCCACATTGTGGACGATCATGTGACCAGTGCCGCCACATTCCAGTGTGAGGATTCTTGTGAGGACTGACGTTCTGCGTGACTGCTGACGAATTAGCGGACGGAAACATTGGAATAATACAAGAAAAAAGATTACGCGTGTAAGAGGTCTGGTTAGCCTTTTTGATAAGTTTGCGTACGTCCTGTTAACCAACTTTGGTAATGAGGTGTAGCATGTCATCAAGATATCATCCATAGCATCGCTGCATGAGTATGTGCAAGTCTCAATAGTTTCCGTTTTTGATAGATCTTCGGAGACAGTAGATAACCTACCACAATCAGTGAATATTGATGGAGAGCTCTTGTTCTTTCAGGAGGAGCCGATTGTGGAGCTCGAAGAATTCGCGGAGTGCTTTTCCACTTCGTTGAAAATCCGACGAACTCCTGTCGGAAAGCACTGCATTGTGCTCAAATAACACGCTAGACCTGTGCATCAGCGCCCATACCGAGTAGCGCCAAAAGAAAGGGAAGCCATCAAGAAGCGAGTGCACGAAATGTTCAATGATGACGTGATCTAGACATCGAACAGTCCGTGGGCATCACTGGTCGTGCTATTTTAAAAAGTACAACACTTGGAGGTTTTTGGTTGACGACAAAAAACGGAACCTAGTTGCGAAGCATGATGTTTACCCAATTTAACTGATTGATGAAGCCTTGTATAGAGTTACGAAATGCTCACTTCTTTTCATCATAGCACTTAAAAAGCAGATACTGGAAAACTGGAGTGGACGAATGACATCGTCAGAAGGCGTTTGTGACACCTGGCGGCTTGTACGAGTTCAAAGTACTCTCTTTCAGTGCGGCCTGTGCTCCCATTGCTTTCCAGAAAATGATGAACACTGTCCTCTCCGGACTCAAAGGGCAATCGTAATTCGTTTACTCTGATGATGTTGTGCGATTAGTGCTTTGTTTCCTCTACCTTCAAGCAGCACTTATACTGCTTGAGAAAGGCACTGGACACCATTCTCGTGGCAGTATGCATGATCAAACCTGAAAAGTGTTACTTTGAATTTCGTCAGCTTTGGTTCCTCCTGCACATAGTATGGGAGGCGTCCGCCCAGATGCGGAAAAAATTACAGCAGTAGAAAGTTTTCTGAAACCACAAGACAAAAAACGCCGTCATACACTTCCTAGGACTCTGCCTATTACCTACTCTTCGTCGAAAACTTCGCCAAGATCGTTGAGCCTTTGAAACAGTTAACAAAAGAAAGTACCACTCGAATAGTGGGAAGAACAGAACGAACATTTCTAAGAGTTGCGATGCCGTTTCCAGTCTCCTCGAATGCTTGCCCATTTTGATGAAGACGCCGACGCAGACATTCATACCGACGTGGTCAACGTTGGCCTTGGTGCCATCTTCATTTAGTGGCAGAATGGATACAAAAAGTTATCGCTTACGAGAGCCCCACTCTATTGAAAGCCAAGTTCAATTCCATAGCGCAAGAAAAAGAATGTTTTGCCGTGATATGACCTATCAGCGACTTTTGCCCATACGTGTACGGGAGACTGGAGCGATCAGCGATATTCAGTGATTGTAGTGGCTTGTATATATCGAGGGCATCCCAGGAAAGCTTTCTAGATGCAGCTTGCGTCTGAAGGAACATGACGTCACCATGTCCTACAAATCGGGTCTCGAACGTACTTAGGCAGACTCCCTGCCACGCACACCTGTGGAGTCTCCATCATCTGACCAAGAAAAAGACTTCCCATTTCTTGAAGCTTGGATTTCGTCAGAATGGCTCGTCATCAGGGAATGAACCCGGAGCTACGCCTGCTTATCCAGTACTTGGATGGTCAGCAAATTAGGGTACAAGGAGTTTTCGTATGAGGACTGGCTTCCTATATTCTTCGAAATGACGTCCTATACAAGCCCAACTTAGCACAAGCAGTGAGACATTTCTGCTTCTCGTACGAACACCACTGCGACCTTCAGTGGAAGCTCATGACAACCCATCGGCTGGCCATATAGGTATTAGTCGGACTTTAGCGAGAATCCGCCAGAAGTATTAGTGGCTGAAATACGGGCTTCGGTGAACCTTTATGTCAAGTCATGCCGGGATTGTTGAAGACGCGAAATACCTCCATTGAAACCAAGGGTAAGTTGAAACAGATAGAGCCAGCAAAAGGGCCATTTCAGCAAATGAGAACGAATTTACTTAGTCCATTTTTTCTCTCATCACTGGGAAAGCACTGGATTGTTGTAGCAACATACTATTTGGCTCAATATGCTGAGACCTCACCTCTCGTAAAAAACGGCAAACAATGTAGCCCAGTTTTATATAAAAAGCAATTCTTTGCACGCTTAGGTGAGTTTTACCTCATCAATTCACCCACCTGTTTCATCCACCGACCCTGTTTCATGCTTCTGATTGAGCCTAGGCTCAATCAGAAACATGAAACAGTTTTATAGTTTAGTTTTATTATTGTAATTCTTCCCAGATTTTTTTCCTAAGAACGTAGCTATAGTTTAAGCCACATATCTGTGTTCCACTCATTCTTCTAATAATTCTCATTGCGCCGATCTCATATTGTAATATCTGAAAATGATGCGCTTTTACTTGAGGTTTTTCGCAACCCTTTCGTTTCGAAAAAAACTTTGTCTGGATAATAAAATTTCAGAAACTTCAATGATAAGGAGAGGTGGGCTCATTTTGAAACAGCGCAAACAACGCAAGACTCGGAAGAATAATTAGACTCGTGACTCAGTGCTCGTGTTGCTGAAAGTTTTAAGCTTTTCGTCTTTTTCTTGAGCTCTTTCGAAATAATTTCAGAAAAGTCATTTATCAACAAGAGCAGCTCCTTTTGGCCTGACAATATTTATGAAGAACCACACAATTTAAAAAAAGCACACCACGTCAACAGGGGTGAATAGTGAGTAAAGCGAAGCAGACGCACGGAAGCACGAACGAACTGACGGACGCTCCGCCTCACTCATCATTATCCACTCCGTGGATATGCTGTGACACCATTTTATTCACATGCACTGAAACGTGACTGAGTACTACGGCGTCTACGATGACTACGACGACACAGGACGTATAACTCACGGCGTAAGGGGCTTCGCTTCTAAGAAATACGCAGGTTCCTGCTCTGAATGATACGCGTATCAAATTACAAGACTTACCTGCTTGATCTTGGACGTACTGAAGACTGGTGATACAATTTTTCTCGTTGTACGCCATTCGTTGTTCAATAGGGCCACAAGCATGTTGTCAAGAACCGGGTCGCCGACTTGCCTGATGAACTGCAGCATAAGCAATATTGCTCTGAACACCTGAAATGCGCCAGTGCTGACAGTTTTGTTTTGACAATGCGCATACAGTAGACAGACGCTAGGAAGGACCTAATACAAAGGACGCATGACACACTTGAACGAACTGTTGTTTGTAGTAGGTCCTACGTACTGTCTCTACCTCCAGCGCAACGACAAACCAACATGAACCAATTAGCCCCTTTCATACAAATCTCAACGAATTAGTTTCTCACTGAAACGAAATATAAACTTATGCTAATTGTTGCTCTAAATAAACGCATCTGTGTCTAGAACATTAAAAAGAGTATTGTGGTGCCTGGGAATGCTTAGAATGTGTATTTTTTAGTGCTACCATTCAAGAACACCTTAGGATTGCAAGTCAAGGGGTCGGCTTCTCAGTAAACTCTCATCATATTGGGTGTTCCAAGGAACTCAGTAACTCTCGACGTTCTAGCGAGATATAAGAGATCTATTCGCGGTGCCCGTAAACCAAAATAATCAATTTACCGCCCAGCAACCCCCACAGTGTTTGATCTGACTTAGCCTGCGTGCAGGACAAAACTTGCCAAACCTAGTTCATGTTGACTGTCAACTGCGGTAGGACTGGCTTCTTGATACCAAGTGAGAAACAGGTCTAAATGATCGTAAAATATTTTGTACGCCTAGTCTCACTCTGCTGTTTGCATAGCGTGAACAATACATTCTAAGAAAACGCAACATGCCAATTTTACGACGTCTAGTATTATTTCCGTGCTTCTTTAAGTCAAGCTTTCCACACCGGAGACGTTAAAGGGTGAGCTATGGTAGCATGGCCGGCATCTCGCTTTTGATCGTAAAATGAGAGGAAAACAGCGTCTACAGCTATGTTATGCGCCAAGTTGCACAGCGCGATATGCGAGCACGGAGCAAAGTCACAAGTTTTTCCCCTTTAAGGCCCCGAACGACGAAGATGGATGAATTTTTCGGAAGCAGAACCTCCATTGATTTGACAGGCCACTTGACGCCTATTGTGATGTGTGTGAGGTACATTTCCAGCCCCGACTTATTGCGATAGACTACGTTCATATATCAATAATGTTGAGGTCCGCATTCCCAAAAGAACGCCGATGCTTGCCCCTGATGCAGTCTCTACAATCGATGAAACTGTTCCTCGGTGTCAAGTAGCCAGCCATAAATTTATATTTAGGTCTGTGATCCTAGACCCCGATCATTTCCACAAATTTCACTTCAATTGGTAATAAATCTGGCTTCACCTTACGATTTAGTTACAGTACTGAATCATGAGCAGTGCATATCTTCAGTTCACTATTCGAAAGAACTGCTCTGATAAAGTTAGCACACTTGAGTACAACTCCTGTGTGGTAAAGTGCTGACTGTCAGGCACTATGAATACAATACCTTTAAGGGTCCTACTTATTGGGCAGTTAATACAGTAGAGTGTTCACTATTTGGTCATGAACTGTTCTTCACGCAAGTTGTAGAAATGAATGGCTTTATGCCCTAATCTTGACAAGCTTTTTAACTTGAGTATTTGATACAGTTGCAAAGCAGAAACTGTATAATAGTATGACTAAGATTCAACGCTTTCCTAGCGGTGTCCTACAGCACGAGGAATTTCTTTATAAAGCCTGATTGTTGACAACGCAGTGGAAACTCATCTAGAAATAAATTCATGCTGGAAATTCCCGTAAAGTGAACTAAGAAAACTGTGTCGAAATACATGCACTCACTGTTAATTAGAGCAAGAACTAGAAACCTTCTACTTGCTGTGGTGACATGCCGCGGCCATGAGAAACAATATTATTGTTTCATGACTATGCTGCCAACTTTGCGAGCAGACACGATATCCTGGCGGTCTGAACAGAAAGAGATTACCTTCATGTGTCGATAAAGCCTGACCACGTGAGTATGGGGTTCCCGATTCTCACATGTATATGTATTCACTACAGCCATGGCCTTGTCAATAGGGTGCCTATCTCAACTACTAGATGTAGGCGGATGAAATTCCTGCTGCCGGACACCCAATGGGTAAAATGGGAAAACCGGAAAAACAACACTTGAAGTATTTGATGTTAGAACGGTATTGCTGTAATTTTAATGAATGTTCGTGACGTGACTGCCTGGTTTCTGAAATGAATAGGAATCTAGAGCTGTCCATGTACAGCTGTCTATGAATACGTTGGAAGAGCATTTTAGGCATGCAAGTTTAGCTTGATTTCGTAATGTTGGTACCCCAGCTCTTGCTATCAGTTCAGTGAGAGAATAGATGAAGCTGTATTTGTTGTAGACAAATCTAACAGCTTTTCTTTGCAGACCTTCTAGCTTTTCAATTCAAGTATTTGTGGCCATGATTCAGCGTATTGCCAGGTTCCTTCCTCAAGTTTTGTGATCAACCCGCTTCATTTTACGTAATTGTCAGCGCAAGCCGCACCTGCAGTGTTTGAAAAGATTCGGGCCTGTAGTAGATTTCAATAATATTAGGTACACATGGCGAACATTACAGATTGTTCTAAAACATACGTGACCACTAGCAATGATGCTAAAATGTTTGACGACATTTGTACAAATGCCCACGCGCTTCCCTGTTTGTCAGTTGATCTGTAGTGCCATGCTAATTTCTTGACAAATGTGCCGCGCCTCTCACGCAGCTGAGGCAAGCTCGAGCTGTGCGAGAACAGAAGGGGCTTTCGTGCCTGGCGTGCCGGATGCTGGCACCCGCCGCCCCTGAGTTTCGATGCGAGGGCAATTAAGTGGCGAGATTCGGCATGGCCCCATCGGCCACCCATACGACGTTGTCTGACGTCTCTCTTCTCCCCGCAACAAATGGCGACCTGGAGAACGCGCCCTTCGACGAGCGGCCGCTGCCATACTTCTGCGCCTTTCCCCACCAGTAAAGCCTTTCTACCCGACCTACCCGGGACCATGGTTTCTGCAGCTCGACGCCGCTCTCACTTAATGGCATCACGGACCAGCCACTAATGCACGCCGTTCTTCTTGATGCCCTTCCGGTAGAAATGCTTCCTCTTACTGCCACTTCAACTGCAGCCTGCTGCCTTAAGATGACATCTGCTCTGCGATGCTGCCCTCCTGCGGCTCACCCACCGCATGCTTCTGTGGACACGCGATTTTCCGGTTTCCCCTGAGTCACAGCGAGGGCCATCAACCAGCCATCATCACTGCCTTGAGAGCGACCTAACTTCCGCGGTTACGACTACATACTTTTGATCCGGTCGTAAGCACATCTGTTCCTGCATCTAATCATGCCAACAAGGTAGGCAACGCCCACACGACGACTGATCTCCCCTCTCTAAGGTGCGAATCCTCAGAGCTCACGTCGAATGTCCGTCGCATGTGCCAGCCTCCTGCACGTCTTCCGCGACATCGACGGCATGCGACACGGGCGCCGCAAGACACCATGACGGCCACCTTGCCGCATGCCTCACAGTCTGGCGCAGGCAACCTTTCACCCGTTACGGACTTCCCGACCACGGGTATTAGGCCTTCGACATTGTTTGATAAACGAGATTTCCTTATCAAGCTCTCGTCTAGCCACTAACGAAGCGATTCTCACGCCCTGTTCTCCACTCGAGATTCAGGACTTTCGTACTGCGTTCAGTGAGTCAGCCACAAGGAGCGTCTCTCGTCCGGCCACTAGCGCAGCGATTCTCGCACCAGGTCAGAGACCAAATGAAGCTCTTCAAGACGTTGCTGCTGCTAACGATAAGTCCACCATGAGGTGCATTTTTTTTCCAAAGTCCTCGGCCGATGGTCATTCAGGCACGCTCGCTACCGGTAGGTTTTCTCAGACTTCCACAGACCACCACTTCACGGACTTCTCAGGCTCCGTGACGGCTACATTGCCGCACACCTTAGAGTCTGCTACGACCCTGGACATCGTCACGCCGACTACCCGTTTCCCGATCGCTAAGCCTTCACCATCGACAATGTCCAAAGGCAGCTCTCTATCCCCGCCAGTGTTCTGCACACCCTGCCAGCAGCCACTAGCATCGACCTCAATGTACCCTGCAGCAGAAAATTCGTGCCCCTCACCACACACGACCGAACATGTAGGATGCTGCAACCATGAGGTACGCGCCAGCATACGACGTGCCTGGTCTGCTAGTGGCACAGCCCACCACACATGCCACATAGGCAGCCATCGGCCATGCCAACCTACACCCGAACTCGTGTGTGCCGACTACTGAAAATGCTTCCCCAAATAAAGGTGTACCCACTGAGCATCTTCCACAGTCCACGCCTGCTCGATCCCATGACATGCTTCCTAACGAGTTTTTTGGCTGAAGAAGTAAACCAGCAGGCTTATAACTGGAATACAGGCAGATCCTTTTACACGCCACAGTCGTCATTCATGTCTACCCTGGTGTCTAAAACACTATTTACCCACTACCGACGTGAGCGGTCAAGCCAATCCATCTTCGAAAACCGCTCAAATCACGAAACCTACGTACGGAGATTGGCGTCAGCGCTGTGCACGCCCACAAAAGCACCATTGCACGAGTTTCTTCTCGATGGGTGGCCTTCCAAACTTCCCTGTGCCACTTTTCATTGTTTCACGCGCAGTGGCCGCATCGGCTTATGTGCACCCGCCCTCACTTCTTCCTGAATGCATCTCTACCAGCACTGCTCACTCGCGGCACCCTGTGTGCTCCCGGCTGGCCCTACATGGTTATCATGTCACCCACCTGTCTACGAACACAGCGACCCGGCACTTACTTCTTCGTCCACTGCACAACTACCAGAGTCGCGCGCCGAAAGCCAACTGCTTAACGATGGTTCATCCAAGTTGGCAACCTGGACTGCCCAAACGGGCACCTTATGGATTGTGGTTATTTTACATTGTATCTGTCGCTCTCTGTTCTCCATATACCTTCAAATTGCGCAAAGCGCTAGGGGGCGGGAGAGCTCGGTAGTGCCATAATTATCATTTTTTGACCACCGCGCCGTGCTTCTCAGGCAGCTCGGGCTAGCTTGAGCTGCGCCAGAACCGCAGGGGTTCACGCGCCTGGCGTGTCGAACGCTGGCAGCAGCCGCCGCTGAGCTTGGGCCCGAAGGGTAATGAAGTGGCGAGATTTAGTATGGCCTCATCGGCCGCCAACACGACGCGGCCTCCTCCTCCTCTCGCCGCTAAAGATCAACGGCCGATGCTCTGTTCCTCGCTATCAGTGCCTGTGTATTGGCGTAATCTGTCTTTACTTTTGCGTGGCCACAAGTTCTGTCGAATAAACAATTCAATTGGAACATCCTGTTTCCACCGTTTGTCTGCTTCATGACCCCGTATCATCTGGTAGAGGTGGTGTGCCCTTCATGTACCGAACGCCTCCGTCAAGCCCAGCGCCAGTTGTTAGGGCATCTACGGCAACCCAGAGCATTGAACAGAGATGCTCAGCGCAAACTGCTCCTCATCCTTCGAAAGGTTCGCAAATGTGTAGATCTTTGTTTAGAGTCAATGCAAGGCGCTTGCAATGAGTTTATTCCAGAGCTGGTGCGAGAACCAGTGATTAGGCTGCAATATTTGACGGTGCATGTATAAATGCCGACGCGCTTCGCCACTTCTCTGTTGATCCATGGCCAACGCCGAGTTCACTGCTATCACTGCATGTCTGCAATTCTGCAATCCGACTTCCCGTTCAGCGCCCACACTATCGAAAAAATAAACAGGTGTTAGTTGTTAAAAGTTTAATAATGAAGTTTAATGAGAAAATTTAATGACAAGTTTAATGTGAAGTTTAACGAGAAGTTTAAGGACAAGTTTCATAATGAATTACCAACTAGCCCAATTCCATACTTCATCTTCAACTTACAGTTTGCTCCCATCGTAGACGTGATGACTACATGACATTACGAACGTCTCAGCTCTCTTCGCATGACGAGACGCGTGGTGGATTCGGTCGCTTACGAGTGTCGCGTTTGCAATGTCGGGTCCTTGACGACCGCTCCACGATCAAGCCTCATACACGGAAATCTCAAATTGTCACCCAATCTTTAGTTTTCCGGGCTTTCCGCCTTACCTCTCTTTTGCAACAGCAATTATATGGACACTCTCGGCTGGTTTTTGCCGCCGGTGTCGACGTGGGCATCATCATTCACAGTATATATATATATATATATATATATATATATATATATATATATATATAGAGAGAGAGAGAGAGAGAGAGAATGCCAAAAATAAAAATCAAGTAAAACACTCTAGTGCGTGATATCAAACGTGGAACCTCTGACACGTGAGTGCCAGGTTCTAAGCACTGAGCCACGGAGAAGCACGTACTTCAACGTTCAAACGTCAAGCTATTTGCATCTACCTCTTACCACTGGTGACGCCCAACTTGGGGGGAAGAGGACCATCATGTTTTCAGCATTGGCAGAAGGATGGCGTAATGAGCGCGCGTGGCCAAAGCGTCACGATGCCGTGGCGCTCGCTCGCATCTTCCAAGCGTACATTGCTCCGCGCCGAGGTCGACACTCACTTGCGCGCCCTTATCTCGCAGTGGAGACAAGCGTACGTCTTGGCTGGCCTTCCGCCTTCTTTGGAATGATTCTGTTGTAGTTACCGGGCGCACAACGGTCAGTGCGATTGTTGCACAGCCTTCGTTTGTGAAAAAATTGTGGTCTTTAGGCATAGGGAAGTACCAACTGAGACTCGTATTCACGTTCATCTGTACCAAGGAATACGCTTCGTGCGTTTGTGTGCGTGAGAAACGCGGGGCGCCTTATGATCTGCTTGCCATTCTGTGCATATGCTACCAGTTTGTTGCTATCGCATTCATTGGCTCACCTTTGCTGCAAAGCTGCGACTTTTGTTCCCTCTTTGTCGCTTCTTTTGTGAACCACTACTGAGGTGTCGCACTTGATGTAGACAATCGTGGGGTTCTCTTTTCTTTTAGAACTACTACCCCATCTCCGCATAACGTCACACGGTAGGGTGATTTGAAAAATATAACAGCGAAGGGACGTTTACTGTGTTTCTTTGTTGGAAAAGAGAACACTCTAGTGCGTGGACTGCACTTACCGGAGGCTGCGTACAGCAAGATAAAGTGAAAGCCAAACAAAGCACGATGGCTTTTGACGTCGTCCATTGGCAAACAAAATAACTATTCATGGCTGATTGACAAGCGCTGCCAGATTAAACGTTTGCTCCGTTTTGATAGCGAGAGTGCCACCAAAAGAGTACACGCTTTTTTCAGCTGTCAGTTGATGTTGAAGGCAGCCGTGCTTTGATACAGGATGAAAGTGAACGTCTTCATAGAAGCTTCGAAGTACGAGTTTCCACAGACGAGCGATGAACGTGCACCAGCGCAATCTGGACGCACGGGTGCGTCGTTCCGCGTCGACTGGGAAACATCTCATTGCCTAATGCATTTTTGTATACGGTATCAGCTCCGAATTATCTTTTACAGCGAAGCTGCCAGATCTTGCAAAATGCACTCGTACTATCTGTGCCACATCTCCATCTTGCTCCTGCCGCCGAAACGTAGCAAGTTACCTTGCGCACGACTGGTCCACTGACTTTCGAGGAAAGAACACTTGAGTGCAAAACAGTAAGTGTATTGGCTGGCGTAACCTATAATTAAGGGAATAAAAACCTTCGTAAAAACCCCATTTATAAACACCAGGCGTGTACAAGCTTCGCTTGGCACCTTCTGTACAGTTAAAATGGGCGGTATTTTTTTTAAGGAATGGATCACCTTTCACAGGGAAAGATGTTACAAAAACGCTAGAACTCTTTTGTAAAAAATGCCGCGGAAAAGCTTCATCTAACTAAAGTTTCCTTTAAAATTTCTAAAGTTCATTCCCAGGAGTCTTAGATTTCGCTAATTGCTGTAAATTACAGATCACCACGTTTATCCCGCATCCTACGAGGAAGTAGTCAGACAGGCCCTAATATAGTTCGCAAGCTTCGTTGTTGATATGCACTGAACTGATAACTTCAGAGGATTAAGCTTGAGCGCCTTCAGCATAAGTGCTTCAATATTATCCGTGTTTACCATTAAAGGTAGAACTGTGACGTGAACATTGACTAGTGTACACTTTGATGCCTTTATTGTGATATGTAGGCAACACTCAGAGAAGCGATACGGTGATCTACTTGCCTTTCTTCCAAGCTAGAACGTTTTTTGAATGAGTGGAAAGCAAAACGCAAAGTGCTCTTTCGTGATCAATGCTGTACGATATGCTTGAACTCAGCGGCCGAGAGCATATTCACGGCACGAACTCTTTAGGCATCCATCATTTTGACTGTCCTTTACATCATTTGTCCCCGTAAAATATGTCACGATAACAGTGTTATCCTCGTGTGCAATACTTAATAATAAAATCTTCGGTTTTACGTCGCAAAACTACGTTATGATTATGATAAACGCCGTAGCAGAGGCTTCTGGACGTTTTGTCTGTCTGGTGCTCTGTAACGTGCGGTTATGTCGCGGAGTACACGTGACGCTACCGTTTCGGCTCCATTTAATGCGACCGCTGCAGCCGGGATCGAACCCAATACCCTCGTGTCAGCATCAAAGCACCATAGCCACTTCTCCTCCATGGCAGACTGTTTGTACTGCTTTTTTGGTGCACTTCGAAGGGCCAAAATACGGCCAACGGGTGCTGCGCGCTCCGTTGAGACGCTATCAAGGGAGTGTAGTATCTCTTTAACGAAGATCCGAGCGTAAGAAACGAATGTGGCTCGAAAACACTAATGGCGCAATTTACGTTGAAGCAAACTGCCGGAAAAAGACATCCACTCTTAATGTACCTAATGCATTTTTGAACAAACCATATTTTGTGTACTCTGACACTTTTCTGGCAGAACTGTGTAAAGACGACTATAGAGTGTGCAAAAGCGAGAGGTCTGTGTACGACTTGAACAATTGCGAGGCTGCTGCATTCTTCCTTCGCCGCAAGGAAATGCGGGCTTGCAGGTCGACGACCAGGGATGTGATGGACACTTAACATAGAAGTTTATCCTATTATCTAAGAATAAAGAATGCTTCCAGAGATCGAACAGCATTACTTACCTCTGTATTGGGAAATGAGGCGAAATTCCTGATCATGATTTCCTTCAGCAGCAGGGGGTCAGCGACCATAAGTGTAGGAGTGAACATGGTGAATGTGCTGCGCATACAAGAAGAAATGCTGCGTTGCTGGATCGTGAATTTGGAGGCACAACTAAACCTATGAAAACTCCACTGTTTTTAGTGTCTGGCTAATCGGACTACACCAGTGTGTTCACACCCAAATAAAGCACTTTGCAACTGAATACACAATTATAGGGCAATAATGCAATCTTCAAGAGAAGCAATGTGCTGCTAACGTCAAATAAAACCCGAAAAGAGAGAATTAATAATGGTATATCTACTCATCACCATGGAGAAGAGACTGCATATGCGCAGTGCTGCCTAACCGGATGCGCCAGCCTGGCAGTGGTGATATTTGAAAGGGAATTGTCGCAGCTGTTGAGGTTTCACGTGACGCCAATAATGCCTGCCTGGATGGCGATGGTGTAGTCGAACACCAATCGCCTTGACGACGCCAGCAAGAAGCCATTAACGTGTCCTTGTTTACAGATTTATTTCCCCGAGGAGTGAGTTTACAATTTACAGACAACATTTATGCAGAACCTTGTGCAGGTTTAGGCTGTTTACCAAGAAGGTAATTGGCGAGCATGTACTCTAAATACGTGGCCACTTCATGGTCCCGGCAAGTCCATAGATCATCACGCTTCGAACGGTCACACAGCGCTATGTGAAAATCTGAAATGAGGCTAACAATACTCAAAGAAAGCGACGGGGGAGGGGGGGGGAGCTAAGCGTTTCTTTAGTAGTAAAAGCCACGTAAAGAACGAAGGATAATTATTTACGTTGCAGTGCGGGAAGAACGTGGAAAAGCTTAAGACACACGCACAATGGGGCACCGTGCAGCAACCTGTGGCCGGTAGTGTGTGCACCCTAACCTTTTCGTGTTTTAGCCACGCTGCGACACACCGAACCAGTGTTGATTAGCAGAGTTATTTGCACAAACGCTAGTTGCAACGATTTACTTGATATTACACAAAACACTCCTGAAGCATGCAGCGGATACCCGCACTATGCACGCGCAGTAGCCACCAACTAGGCGTGGGCAATGGCGAAGGCAATTGTCGAGTTGGCAAGGGTACGCATGTCCTGATGTTGTGTCTTAGTGGAGTTTCATCCCTTAGGAACGGCAACAATCACTTAAGAAGGACAAATTGCTCTCTGAAAGCTGGACTGTTGTTAATACACAAGTGCAATACATTTTGAAATACATCTTGAAAGACACTTGAAATTGGGGACGTTATGCTCAGAAATTTTCGCGTGAAATTTATAAACCTATTATTCAACATTGGTTTTCAACACTATTATTGAATTAAAAATTGCAACATTCATGACTTATATAAACCTCAAAGTGCACTTTCTCAACCCAAACTTAGTAAAGGAGATCAAGGCACCGTTCCCACCTCTCAATATTTACTAACTCTTGCCTCACTGGTTTCGAAACGCTGAGAACTCGTTCACAACGGGAATATGAACTGCGCTAAAAAGAGAACCAATTACGTTGGATATTCATGTGAAAGAGCATTGACACCATGGTTGAAATAGATATTCTAGGCTAATGAACTCATGAGTTGACTCACTCGCAATCTTTCAGACTCAAATTACGCCGTTAAGGAGTAAGTCCAGTTGAGTAACGTTTTGCTATTACGTTAATTAGTTATATTGCGTTCATTGGCGCAAGAGCGACTCAGGCTAAGCTGTGCCACTTTTTCTGATGTGTGTCTGAGTGAGTACGACCCAAGAAAACTTTTGAGTCTTATTCCAAGTGAGTCCGAAATGAAAAAAAAAAAGATTTCACGAGGGATGAATGAGCGAGATTCACAAGTTTGTGCCGACCTGTGCTTGATACTTTTTCCCTCAAGCTTTCAAGATTCTCAACGGTCGGCAGCTCCCGAAGTGACCTCCGTGCTTAGTTTTGCTGTGTGCACGAATTTGGACAGTCAGAGTTACATCATAGCACCCATGGCTTTCCAGAGTCCACTCGTTTGTGAGAGGCATTTTGTTGCAGCATCGACGAAAACGGCTGTCAAGCTGTGAAATAGTAGACGTCATTGTCAAGGCTTAAAGTACATATGTAAGTCCAACATAAACGAATACTAGTATGAAAGTGATCCCAATTGGCTTTGTTAATGGGGCATTCGAAAACCTGTGGCATATATTTATTTTATGTAGGTGTGCTCAGAACTACGGGAAGTTGGTCACTTTTACAACGTTTACTGATGACTTTCCACTGGAGTAGAGGCATAAGCGATGAAGATAATATGCGTAGGTCTATGGATGAATACGTGCTAGCGAGGCTGTACTGAGTTGGTTCTTTTTATACAGAAGACACGCCCAGTAGGAGAGAATGATTTCAATCACCCTATCTCGAGCTACACATTGAGAGTTGCCTCATAGCCTGATATGTCTCTTTTAAGACTCCAAGAAAGAGATAAGGTTCGCGAACGTCCTAAATTGACAAGCGTAAATTACGTTTTTGTAGCTGATAACTCAGAAGTATGTAAAAAGTGCGAACTCTGATCAGTTTTTTGAAAAGGGTCGCTAAAAAAGTCACTGCCTGAAGGAACGTATGGAGTTGAGTGTGCATGCGATCCCTTCATTGAATGATGGCTGTACCTCCAGATCATATCATGGCACCTTTGCGGTTCTTTTGGAAAATAATGTAGCTACGAAGTTCGCGTGCGTGCGTGTGTGTGTAGCACACACAGAACATATGATGATCACTCGTGTAAAAGCTCTTGGACATCGTCAATGTTCCTGAGATGGCCCCTTGACGTTCCACTGTAAAATATGTGTGTTCATGATTAAAGTGATATAGTGATGTTTGTATAAATAATAAGTGGCTCTTTAGGCTGGAAGCTAGAATTAAAGTAACAGGGCCATCTTCGGGCCTCATATCTGCTTTTTTTACTTTCTCGGCAAGTTCCGAAGAGCTACGCCGATTTTTCGACACCAGGGGCACCACTGTGTGCATTGTCTCCTCGGAAGCACTGGATACCCGCGCATGTGATTGGGGATTCGAGTTTTAGCCTCGCCTGGTGAGATGAGGCTTTGATACCCCAGGACCCTTCAGTCTCCGGTCTACATGCAAGTAGATGGAGTAGACAACCACCACTACCCACCACAACCACCCCAGCCGAACGAGAGGCGAGGTTTCGCGTGACGTTGCCCTCTGCCGCAACGCATCATCGTATCTTGCCAAACAATGGCGAGACAATTCTTGCTTCTTTCAAGATGAAGTGCTCCTTCACTTTCAAAGAATAAAAACTAGCGTGAATATGCGACACGATTCCCGTCACAGTTCACGCAGTGCGTCAATTATTTGTAGACGCCGGAAATGTGGCCCGAGCCTTAACATCGTGCTCGATTCAAGACACTAATATAATCACAATATTGCCAATAACGACACCTGTGAGAGCCGTAGTCATATATTCGAAATTGGAAGCAACGGCAGGGGTTAGATATGTACGGCTTCATGGCAGCCTCATATACCCGGTTTGAATGGTTTCCAGCGGATCACTTGAAAGAAACGTGAGTATTAGATGCTTTTTTGGCATTTACTTTTTCTTTCTTCTGATCTTATTTCGTGGTAAGTTAGTCACATTCTCTTTAATCCTTCCGGTAGTTCAGTTTCGGTGAGGTCAAGCGAATCTGTCACAAGCAACCCAGCGAGCTGAGCTCAGACTTGTGCGGTTTAACACTCATTGGTGTAGCGCCAAAAGTTGCAAGACAGTTCAGCTTTTCGAATTAGTTTTTCTCTCGAACCTGTAAAAGTAGAGCCTCCACTTGCAATTTTGGTAACCTTGTGGCCAGCACCGAGAGTTTTTTAGAAACCTGGCAACTGAAGTAGGCTTCTAGCTTGTTTATCACTCTTCTCGCATTGTATATTATGGAGTGAGGGAATAAGTCTATTGGCTAGTTGTGAAAAATTAGTCTTCATTGCGTACTCACTTTGTGACGACATGATGACTTAGCAGGGGAAATGCTGTGTACAAGCTCACTGTATTTTTCCGGCAGCGTTGGCGGCCACACACACCACGAGCCCAAACAGGAGACGCTACTTAGAGGATGCTGAAAGCTTGCGGATGCCAGCCATACAACGCTATTATAACCCAAGGCTATTTGCACAGGCCTAACCAGAGCCGCCAAGAATTTGTTAAGTAAAAGGAAAATAGAAGTAAACAGCAATAATAAAAAGTGAGAGAGATAGACGACGATGAGAGAACAGAGACAGAAAAAGGCGACTGCCAATTTTGCCTGGGTGGGTCAGCAAAGGGATGCCGTCTACGTGACGCAGGGGTCAAAGGGGTGCGTTGGCTCTGCCGAGAAGCCTTAATGATCTAATCACTGTGTTTGCTCAACCCCCATAATCTCCATTTCCCCGGACTCGGGTGATCCATGCATCACTAGGTGTGGGAGGAGATCGATACACCACATCGATTAGCACAGCTCCGTGGTGTCGCCACAGAGGCTGCGGGGCATTATCTGGGCCACGTCAAAGTTTCACTCCTACCTATATGTCAGGGGCTTCAAAGTTGTGAGCGACAACTACGCCTTGTGTTTGCTAAACTTCATGCACTATTCAGGTCGTTTTCTGCAATGGAGTTTGAAATTGGTAGCATAAGCCATTACCATCATTCAAAAGTCCAGCAGAAAACACTCCGACGCCGACAGCCTGTCTCGTGCCACCGTCGACCTACCACCGCACGACGGCCAGCATGGTGACTACTTCTTGGGAAGGATAAGTGCCGACAATTTCACTGAATAACAGTGAACAGAACCATAACTTAGAGGCCCAATAGAATACCTCTAGCGCAAGACTGGCCTTGTTCCAAGGTATTCGAGTGGGCAAGTGCCTCGTTTATCATTTAAAATGTGCTTCTCTAAAACAAGCACTTGTCACCCTTTTGAGCCAAGTACCTTCTTGTGCTGCCTTCAGAACTGCGCTTAGAAGCCCTCCTGTCCCTGCACGATGACCCGACGGTGAAACAAGTCGGTGGTTCTAGCACGCTTTCGAGGAAATGTACTACTGACTAGGAG